TGAAACAGAGTTGGTCTCTCATAATCACTTACCAACCATACAAGGCTGTCCAGCACTTATGGCCCCTATAATTTTTGGGAACTCTTCCAGATAAGGATTGCTGAGGGAAGGAAAATAACTTCTTATAACTTGGCAAATATTCTCAAATCTCTTCTAAATCTCTTCTTTCTCATCCTCACAGGTCTGTTTCCATGATCTCCCAGGACTACAATTTCCAAGTGGGAATACAGAAACATTAATATCACATGGACTAAGCCTTCTCTCTCTTCTGTATTCAGAAGTGGTTACATACAAAACAAGGAGAGGAGGGAGCCAAAGAATGAAAAGTCTTCATAGGGATGTGGGAACACATGAGGAAGTCAGTAAAAGTTGGAGCCTGATGTGGGGTGAGTAGGTGGAAGAAAGAAACACAAACCCTTCCTGCTCCATCACGTTTACACCTGGTTGCCCTATCCTCCCACTCCCCGTCTTCTCCTCTGCTGTGGCCAGAAGAAACCCACAGCACCTCAACATCTTTCTAATCAGGATGTTAAAGCTATTAAATGATGGTATTTCAACCAAAAATCCTACAGCCACAAAACTAGACCCTGTAGACCACTGGCCCTCCCACACTGCTCCAGACAGATTACTGTCTGTAGCTAAACAGCATCTCCTTAACACACCCCTCTCTGAGTCCTCTTCCAGTGCCCTTTTAACATTTCTGAATCCCTCTTAACACATTAATCTTTTGCTGTCACTTGTAGATACGAAGTCAACTGCTCTGCTGCCACACACACACAGCAAGCCATACCTCAAAACCAGCTCCCCAAATAGTAATCAAATGGATTTGTTGCTTGGTTTGGAGTGGAAGAACAGATGGAGAAACACCAGCACTAATTCAATAAACCTTACAGCCTCTGATTCTGTTTAGCCAGAAATAAAATATATGTATATCATGTGACTGATTTTAAGATCATGCCTAAACACTGTACTGAACATAAACTGGGTATTTCTGAAATTAAACACTTGCTTAAAGGCCCTGCTAAATTGGGGTTGTAAAAAAAAAGAGACGTACAAGGCAAATACTCTTGCAGCTTTGGCTCAGAAAAGCAGAAAAGTGTATTTAGCTATAAAAGTAAAGTCACTGAAAAAGCATCCTTATTTGAGAGGCACCATGGAGATTACAGCCCAGACTTCACCAATTACTTATGTAAAATCAGAACAATAGCAAGTGATAATCATGGGTTGAAAAACATTCACAAAACCCTTCTGCTACCAGTGAGTTATTCCTCATGTGTGTTAATTAAATCATTTTAACTTTGGAAATATAGACTTGTACTAATTTACAGTTTCACAGAGTGAGCCTCCTGACTGTTACCAGGAAATCTGAAGGGAAGAGCAATCCCAGAGCTGTGCAGAAACACTTTAAAGCAAAAAGCAGAGAAACCAGCAAAAGTAAAAAAAGTTTACAGTAAAAAACTCAGAGGCTGTTGTAATTCTTTGCATGGATTAGAAAAATGCAATTTTAATTTTTCTTTAAATGGGCTTTATTTTTCTCTTGCTTCCCTTTTTCAGAGGACATAAATCACTCTCAGCTGTGAAGGAACTAAAAGCATTTGGCTTTGCTGGGGAAAGAAGTGTTACTGGACAGAAATAAAATCAGCAACCAGATCAGAGTTTGTATGTTTTACAAAGCAGCACTTCCAACCTCTCTGCAATCCCGCACGCTCCCGGTGCCTTGAGGCCATTTTCCCCACTGCTGTGAGAGCCCTGCAGAACATGGAGCTGGCAGGGGATTGTGTTACTGCCCTGACTGCACTGGGAAACACCAACTCCTGCACTCTGCAGCTGTCCATTTACTCAGGGAATTCCACCAGCCCACTGAACAACTGTGCTGCCTCTCCAGAGGCAGCACCCTGCAGTCAGCATCACCCAGCTCCAGCACTGGGGAGAAACAGGCTCCAACCACAGACCATTCACTCTGGAATTAGCTGAAGCTCAAAGGCTTTGCAAACTGTGCCATTTCCAAAGTTATCTTTACAGATAAATCTCTCTATATATTTTCCCCCTATGATCCCACACTGCACTTCTGCACTATCCTATTCCATTTGCACTGCAGGACGCTGTTTACTGCACAGTTTTCATCTTGGAGATAAAACAAGTCCCCTCAGGAATGATACACGACTGATGGATGCTCATTGATAATGAATATTTATTTGCTTATATGAATATTTATTAATGAATGCTGCTATTGATTCTTAATTCCTAGTGACCTGCACGGGCTCTGTGACATCTCCTTGTCCGGGTCCCAACAGAACCAGCCCATGCACCTTTCCTGTCTGAGGATGAAAAGGCAGTGCACACCACAGAGCAGAATACTTCAAGTGATGGAAAACTTAAAAAGCATCTTTTTTTTTTTTTTACATGAAATACTGCAAAAACTGAGAAGGAAAAGTTCATCAGATAAACAGAAATTCAAAATGTCACCAGTGAAATTAGTTTTTGAGAAAAATATTTACACTGCAGCTGAATCAAGCTACTTTGCAGACAAACGAAGGCAAAACAACAACAGAGAAGGTTTTATGTCTACTCTTTAATGATTGTATCCTAATTATGGCAAAATTTCACCCCTTCCCAATGCTGGCAGGGAGAATCATTGTAAAATGCAGGGTCCTGCAAATTAGCAAGCAAGAGAACAATAAATTCCCCCCAAGGATAATGCATCACAAAACACGCTGCGTTCATTTATTTGGCGTAGTGCAGTTTAATTACTTGTAAAAATAATGACTCCTTTGTAGGGGCCCTCACTAACATGCATTGCTGCTCTGTGTTTTGCTGAGTGGGACGAGCCGTGTGCCAAATTTGTGTGCATGGATTATACAGTGTGAGCATAGGCAGAGTGCAGAAAGGAGGTTGTACAGTGTCCTTTGTGTTTTGACAGCACTTAAATGACACTCGCTCTCTTCATGGAATTTTCTGTGTTTCAAAGCTCAGTATTTCTCCTCCAAATAGGGATTTTCAAGTTTTGATCCCATCTTATTGCAGAAAATGCTCAGCATAATAAAAAAAAGTCACTGTTGGGGAATCAGGGTGTGCCCATTTTTTCACCATCACCCTCCGTGGGGAAGGGCTGTGACCATCCCCATGTCACTGCTCCAGTCAGTCCCAAGGTCATACCACGATGCTCCACCATCATCCCACCCACTGAGAAAGGGAACCAGGTTTTCCAGCTTCTTTGTAGGGCTTCTTGGGAATAAAGGAGTTCTCAAAGTCACAGGACCTGTGGCATGGCCGTCAGATGTTTATACATTGTATTTCCACACAGCAGTCCAAGAGGAAAACAAATCATAAAGAACAGTTTAAGGATATACCAAGAAGACCAGGAACTGGGACCTTGATGGTAACATGTCTGCAGTTCTTGTATCTTATTTTCAAAGACAAACTGCAAAGGTCACCAGAGAAATTCCATGGATTGGGTCAGCAGCATTCCATAAAGCCAATGACATAGGACAATGTCAGGGAATCCCAGTCCTCTTTTCATTCCAGTGAGTGAGAACTGCCATTCCAAAACTGGAGCCAGTTGTGAAATACTTCACCAAATACATGAATAGCTGTTGTAGTAGTTTTGTTTACTTCCCATTTTTATTTAAATTACCAGCTCTACTCGCATTAGGGTTGCAGTTTTTGCTGTGAGCTCTATAATCAAGTTTTGGCCAGCCTAAGCTTCCTGACAGTATGTAAAGCCTGTTAATGTGGTTAGTCTCACCTTGCTGCGGTTACAGGATGAATTTTCACATCCCATTTTTACAATATAGCCTGTGAAATAGTTGTGTTTTCACAGTATGACTGACCTTGATGGAGAATAATGTAACACTGTCAATCCTCTCTGTATTGATGCCACCAAGAGCAGCAGGAGAAGGTATTTGGATATAGGTCCCATCCCACCTTCTCCTTCAACCTCACTTTCCAAGTGACTGCCTGAATTTAAGGATAAATCTTAAATGCAATCACTCCAGCCATACAGATAATATTTTCTGCCCCCCAACACTGCACCCAACAACTACAGAAAGCAGAATAATTTACAATTCATATCAGGGAACATTGCATGATAATGCGGATAACACAGCAGACTCCTAAACATGACATTGGGTCATTCAACATAAACTCCAAGCATCTGAGAAATCAATTCAGAAACAGAAAGTTTATAACAAAGCTTAAGAGAACCAGGCATCAGAATAACACACACAGAGACTAAATCTTTTCTCCTATACAAACAGCCCCCTTGAGATTTTTTTTAAGCTCTTTGTCTTTATTAGCCTCAGCTATTAAAGCTAGATCTCCAAACATTTGCTGCTCAAAACTAACTTGCCATGTTCCAAAGGATTCCTTGTAAAGCAGTACAATAAATGCTCATGCCACTAGTTACTTGCTATGTGTTGTAAGACCTGGCTTTTTCTCAAGACCACTTACAACAGACCTGTTTCTGTTAAATATTCTGTTCTCCTTTAAATATTTGCATTAATTCTTACCTTATTTTTTTTAACCTACACTGGTAAAATGCCTATTCATCTCAGGATGCTGCCTTATTTCAATATAATAATCACTATTTCATTTAACTAAAAAACTCCCTCTCTAAAAAGTAAGAACACAACAATCCACTACCACCACAATGCCTATTGGCTCCCCTCTTTTGGGCAAGTTGTGCTTGCTTGAAGAAAAGTGTTTGGATAAGATTTGTATTAATTAGTCAATATTACAGTGACTCACTTTGGACTTTACAAGACAGCTGGAAGCAGAATATTGAGCAACAAGAAAATCCCCCCCAAAAAATTATTGCATTTCCCCGAAATCCTCAGGACTGCCCCCACTGCTGCTAGCAAGAATGGTAAAACCAAAATTATACCAAAACTACCTTTAAGAATGGAGTACAGCACTCAGACACCATTGAGTGATAATGCACAGCAAAGCCAAGCATGGTAGAGAATGGAAAACCAGCAGAGGAACAACCAAATCATCCTTACTCTGTCAAAAGCTGGTGCAGCTTCTGGTAGCCCCTCTCCAAGGCCAAGCTCACAGGCGTTGCCCCTTCGTTGTTGTGGATGCTGAGAGCTCCTCTTCCACCCGGCTGCTGGAGCAGAAACCACGTCAGCCGCAGCAGACCCAGCCTCACCGCAAAATGCATCAGTGTTTCCCGAGGGATGTTCTCTGGGAAGGGAGGAAAAGAAAGAAAGAAATGGGAATTTGTAGGTTTGTGGGTTAGGGGAAATGTTATATCTCCACATCCCAGCTCCACCACACAGCGGCTGGCATGGAGCTGACAGCCCAGAGGAACCTGCAGCACCTGGAAAAACAGCCAGGTTGCCAATATGCAGGAGACACCAGTCATGAACATGGACATGCTTCGCTGGGGCTGGAAGTGCTCAGGACCTCTCATGCTGAGACTGACCACAGAAGTCAATGTGAAAACCCCAGCACTTCCTGAAGAGCCACAGCCACCACCAAACTCCAGCACACCCAAACAGCAGCGTGGTCAGGTGGGTTTTCCTGGATGTCCAAACCTTCTCCTCAGGTTTTAGGGACAGACAACTTTTGTTACCTAAAGGGACACTGATTTATCCCCAGGCGTGAAGAAAAACAAAATTACATTTGATGCACATATCAAAGCTGTTATAAAAGAGAACTGTTTGCAAGGGTTTTCTTTCCTGGTTTGATTATGCCTCAGACTAGCTTTTCTCAGCTTAATACAGTAGCTCTGTCATTCTGAGTAGCAGCATTTATAAACCACCAATCTCCACTGCTGCTTTTTGTATTTAATAACTGTCACACTTAGTGACCTTCTAAGTCACTAGTGCCTGAGCTTTCATCTCAGAAAAATAACCCCCTACTCCAAAAGCTGCAGCCCTAGAATGATGCTCTGAAATGCTTTAACCAGAAATGAGCTCCAGATGCAGTGCTGAAATCCAGTATTTGCAGATCAAAGCTTGTTATTTCTGTATGAAAGGCAAAAGCATTTGGGTTAAAAAAACTGCAAGAAATAAAAATTTGTTCTTTTAATTAACAAAGGATTTCAGTATTGACTGACAGCAACAACAACAAAAAAGCACCAACTGGGTCTCAGAAAGCCATGCCAATGAGCATGCTTGGTATAAACCCTTTAATATCACAGAAATTATTTATTGGGTTATCAATTTGGGTTCCAGCCAAATCTATACAACAGATTTTAAAATGTATGCACATAATGGCTTTAGGATTTAATTTTGTATCTTTTTCTTTAAGAAGTGTGCCCCAGGAGAAGTCACTTCTTCAAAGTGCTGCTGTTTTTCTTGCTTATTTACTTACTTTAGGGACATCATTAAGACCTTTGGTGAAAAACAAAACAAAGCAAAAACAGGCAGTTCTCCACTGCCTCACACACAATTTTTCACAACTTTTTGGATCCAATTCTGAAGAACTAATCTGCATGCAAGAACCAAAGGCTTTCTGGCACTATTTCTCTTCTGAATGACTCCAAATTAGGTCTCTGGGCTACAAACCAAGTCTTCCCCCAACCTCCTCTTGATTACCGTAAAGCAAAACCGAGCTGCCCTGAATACACGAGTGTGTCTGAATGGAGGTTCCAGCTGATCAGAGAAAAGGGAATGGTTGAGCTCTCCCAGAGACAAATTCTCAGCTTTTGGCTAAGCAATGAGAAGGATTTGGGTATTAAATGTTACAGAGCGTAATGATTTAGAAATAGCATAACATGGAGGTTAACCAACGGTTGCAGCCCTGGATTTAAAGAAAAATTAAAAATAACACAGCATATAGACAGACACAGAAGAAAGAGTACTGATCAGGCTGCAAAATGTGGATACAGGTAGGAGTTTTCCAGAGTGAAAGCAAATACCCAATGTTTTACTCAAATGCACAAAACTCCCACAACTACCTGGCAGAGCCAACATAATTAATGTGGTGTAATTCTTCCTACGGAGATGCAGGAGGCACAAAAGCACTTCTGTCAGAGCAAACAACTGCCATCCAAATAAAGAATGTGTTGCACTGGTCTGACCATGTTGTGCTCTTGCATGGGATCTCCTGTTATGGTTGCTTTGTTGAAAGGGAAAATCATCCTCCTAACTAGAATGGACAGTCTTGCCCCAGAGCTGAGCAGTGCAGACCTGCAAAGCATAAGCACAGATCCCTGGACCAAAATGCTTCCTCCTCCTGCAGCTGAGAGCATTACCAATAGGGAGAAGCATCCTCTGCTAACCAGCTCATGGTTCACCACTAAATACACACTACTAACTGCAAGTTCTGCAAGATGCAGGCAGATGTTCCTCTTGCCCCTGAGCCAAACGGGTGCTTCTCTCTGTCCCATATGTCCAAAGATGAAATGGCCTCTCCCAGTTGTCACAATGCCTCCCCAGTTGTCCCAATCCGCTGATATGACTGCACCTTCTGAGAACATCCTTCCTGTCCTATTGAAACAATCTTCTTTGTCACTGAATCAGTGCAGTGATCACTGGGCAGTTCCAGAGTGTGGCTGGAGGTGTCTGCAAAGGCAGCTGAGGTGAACGTGGCGCTGCCCTGATGCCTTTGGGCAGTGACACTGTGCACACAGGATCTGTACAAGAAGAAGTGGCGTGTTGCCACCAGAGCATATTAAACACACAGCCTCACCATCCACTTTTGGAAGGCTCTGCCTGACACAGAGCCTGGCATGAGGCCACCCTAACAGATGGGCACAGATGATGGCAGCAAAGAGACAAAGTGCTGTACATCCAACAACTGTAGGGGCCCCAGGCACTGGCTTTGGAAGGTTCTGGAGTGTGCAAAACTTGCGTGGTGACAGTTAAAATGGCATGTGCCATCTGTGGGCTGGATTAACTACTAATATATAATGAAAATACATCTGTTGGTGTCGGGTGCTGCTCAAAACTAGACAAGAGCTGGTCTGCATCAAATATGGACATTTTGCTGGATAGAGAGGGGAAGCAGACAGACAGATCCCTTCAGACTTCCTACCTTTAAGGGATGAATCTTGTCATACAAAATGCTGGAAATCCAGGCAATGATTTTATGATCTTGTCATGGTGCAATATGTCCCACACATGAAAGAATATCAAGTTTTAACATGCAGAACCCAGAGCCCCTTCTCCTACCACATACCAAGCAAGAGTTCCTTGTCTTAAAATGGCTGTCGTTTGAACGTCAACAAGAAGCTTCTGGTAATTAGGAAATTGTGGAAATACAAGACACACGATACTGAAAAAGCCAAGATTGTTTTGTTCCTTTCTTGTTTCCTAGTAATAGGCAAGAGTTGAAACATATGATTATTGCCCCATAATGGCAGGGTACTCTAGTCCAGCTGGCAAAACACAAGACTTTGAATATATTATTTTTGTGTAATTGTTTTCTGCTGTGATACATGAACAGACAGTTTATCTGCGTAACTGAGGACCAAACTTCTATAGAACACTGTCATATGTACTTTGCTAATAGTAAAGGATTAAGGTTTAAAGTGCTATTAGCACAAAACAAATAAGCATTGAAGGGAAAAAAAAATTGAGTATGACATGCCCAAGAACACTTAGTAAAAACTTTCATTTTAAACCTGATTATATAACAAAAAAAAAAACCCCAAAACTGCTGTTCCTTTTTAAAAACAACTTTCCATATAGAGTAACCTACACCTAATGCTCAGTTTATCCTCCATGCTCTGAGACATCTCATGAGCCATGGAACGGGGCAGCGTTGCTTCGTCTTCCTGTGCTCATGACCTTTACTTGGTTCTCACCCAGACTCATGTACACTCAGCAATTTAGAAATCTACCATCACATCTGGCCTCAAAATCTTGCTTTCTGCTAGAAATGTTCTCACTGCTCAGATCAATCCTTGAGAAACAAGGATAAAAAATCCCAGAACCAAGCTGCCACCTCACACTGAGATCCTAGAGGAAGGCTCCAGCAGACAACTGCTCTGCAGAAAGGTCAAGGCAAAAATGTTGTGTTTGGAGTTATGAGCTCAGTTAATAAAAAGATGTGTGGGTAATTCCTTTCTTAATCTGATAAACAAGAAAATTTTCAAAGCACACCAAAAGATCTCCATGTCCCCATTCTCACTAATATCAAAGGGAACACGAACATTCCCATGCCAACAATTTCTTGGCCACAGACTAAATGGTACATCTCAGTCTTGAGCAGCACATTTCTGATGCTGTCTGAACAAGAATTGCTTTCTGCTTTCCATTTTCCACTGCAGACGGCACTAAATTTAGGTATGGAAAAGGCTTTTTACTTCTTATCAAGGACTGCTGCTGAACAGAGCACTTTGTGCTGTTGGCGCTGAACAAATCATGCTGATTTATACCATACCATCCTTTATCAGAGAGCACAGAAGCTGAGCAGCAGACTGGAAAGGATATGAAACCCAACCAAAAGAACACCTGTAACTACTACATTGAAAGGGTTCCAAAAGAAACTATAACAAGAGCGCAGCAGATGAACAGATTAAAGCTTCATGTCTGAAATACGTCATCAGTAGCATAACTTTAGCATCCTCCCATGGGAAAAAAAGACTAGGTACTAGTAACTAAATTCTGAAAGTTTTAAAAGGCTTTTTAGGATTTTTTGTTTAAAATAAGATGGGTTTTATTGGTGACTTTCTCCCTTCAGATGTTCTCCTTTCATGCAAAAAAAGAACCCAATTCATGATCTGTACTCCTGGTGACACTGATGTTGTCCTGTATTTGAAATCCGACTGGTTTTGTACATGAAGCTATTAAACCCATAATCCTAATACATTCAGACTATTTCAAACCAGGGCAGAGTTTTCCTCTATGCCCACCCCCCACCTGGTCAGGTCATGGAGTTTAATTTCCCAAACAGTTCTTATCGAAGGACCACATTTATCCCAGAGCACTTCTGGGAAGCTCTACATATTCAACACATCAGTAACTGCAATCAGTTAAGCGTTCTATCTAATCTGATGGTCTCCTGGTTATCTACTTGAAAACCTGGCTCACTGTCTCACAGCAGTCCTTAAACTCTGAGGGGAATTGCTCCATATCATGGTGATCACAACAATCCCCTGCCAACATCAACCAGCTCCTGAAGCACCACCTCAGAAAGCTCACACAACCAAAAATCAACCACAGCTCTGGGTTTCACCACTCACTTTTAATAAGCAAAATGGAAAGAGGGTTTCCTCAAAGGTTTTGTCAGAATATTACTTCCAAGTTATTTTGAAAGTGATCTGTTTACTAGTGATACAATCAAGCTCTCTAAGCTTTCCATACCTGAGCCTCAGATCCTCCCTAATTTTTTTCTCCTTTTTTTTTACCCCACTGGAACATAAACAAGCCATAATCATTACTCATACCTCAAAATATTCAGTTGTGGTTTTCTAGTTAGCTTATTTTCTCTTCAGCAATTTAAAATAGAACATCACCGTCCTGTATTTACATTGCATACATCCTCAGGATACATATTAAATTTTGATTTCTAGACATAAAGTGTAACAATCTGTTCCATTTAAATAGCTGCCTTTAAATGTCACTGAGAACAGTAAATAGCCCCACTTTTGACAGCAGTAACAACTATGTTTTTTAGAAAGTTACAGTGCACTTGTAATTATTAAGACAGACATGATTATATGGCACCTGAAAGAAATGCTGTGTTTGGAATACCACAGTAACAAGACTAATCCTTAATTATGGATCTTCTGAAATTGTGGATGCCATTGGAGCTCATACAGATAGACAGATAACCAAGAGCAAGGCCTAGGAATGCAGCTATGGAGGGACAGTGTGTGCCTGGTGAAGAGCACAGCTGTGTCTCCCCAGCCACTGTCCCAGGCTCTCTTCTGCCTCCCAGCTCATCCCACCAAATGCTGAGTACCCTCTGCCAGTCCCAGCAAGAGAATGGAGCCCAAGCATCTCTGATGTCAGCTATCCTACGTGTTCCCATCCCAGGTTCTGCAGCTGTGTCTGTTCAGTGACACAGCAGATGAGTTCAACAGCCTCAGGAGACTGAGGTGTGTGGAACTTCCAGCAGCCTCTCTGCCCTCTGGGGTGACAGCAGTGAACTCCCTGCCCTCTGCTCGAAGCCTGGCCAGAGCTGGCTGCAGGCAAAAGCAAGGAGAAGCCTCCACACAAAGCCACCCCCTCCTCAAAATTCAGCCTGGATTTGTGCTCAGCGGTACATCTCGTACCCTCAGCTTCTGCCTGCAGAAAGCCATTACTTCCTAACTTTTGCAAAAGTTAGACTTCTACTTCAGGCCTTTGAAAAATTGACCTTTCAGTGTGTTTGACAACAGCAGCCTCCTCTGAGCAGCAGTTCCCCATCAGGCTGTGGCACTCGGGGAGGCTCCCGGCTCGCTCCTGCCTTCAGAGGTTTTACTGAACAGCAGCGTTTTGTTTCCAGCCCACAAGAGCCCATAGAGACGTGCCAACTCAGAGGCAGCGCTAAACATCTTTCAAGAAGGGATCTGACATTTTCTTTTGTTCTCATTTCTATAGTATTTTCTCCTTCGAGAAGGTTATTTGAAGTTATCTGGTGCTGACATTTAGGGAAATGTGAAGCATGAATTGCAGTGGCTGTTCATAGGTAGTGAAGCAGCCCAGGACAGGGTGTCCCACTGCAGGCATTGGCCAGAATGTGCCTAATTGTTCAAACACTCCTACAGTGCAATCTCTGCAGTGCTTTTCTCTCTCCCACACACAAATTAACACACAAGCACCAGTAAAAGGGTGCTTATATTTTAGCACAGAGGTTTTTCTAATCTAGCACTTCGTCATAAACCAGGGACATCTCTTCCAGCCCACAGAGTTTCGTGACCGAAAGGGTGCTTCTGCATGCAAATCCTTCCTGTCACAGACACAAAAATTCCCCTGAATTCCCTATGTGTAAATATCTCCTGGCAAAAAAAATTACCAGATAACTCTGCCTCTAACAAAAAGGAACATATTTTGCAGCGCTAATATTCTTGAATTGAATTTGCATTTAGTGACATTATATTTATTGACTTCTGTCTACGCACACCTCACCACAAGATGCCGAAACACTCAACAGTTACAGAATTTGGCACTACAGAGCTCCCCCTTCTCACTGTGGATACTCCACAAGTCCACTAACATACAGAGCCCTGCACAACCACAACTTCCTGGCACACAAACAATTCTGAGCAAACCAACTTAAATCTTATGGCCTGGTTTCCCTAAGTGCTGATTTTCCAAAGAATAATCAAAATAAAATTTTTAAAAAATGCAGATCTCAGCCTTCCAGCAAAATCAACAATAATTCAGAGTTCAAAGTTTTCGTTAAGATCACTGTGACCACATTTATATCACTTAAACCAGAAATGTCTGCATTATCACAACACTTTTCAAATGCAGAAAGAAATATCAGTGACTTTGACATAGAGGAAAACAATACCAAGTGTTTATCTCCTTGTAAACATATGACAGCTGCTGAATTTCTATCAAGGAGCCATTAAATATGATCAAATATTTTCATGTCTGCTAACAAGGGAATTGTCTGTCCTTGTATTGAGCTTTACAAAAGCAGTCAGCAAGCTGGAGAAAAATAAAGCAGGAAAATTTCCTGTGGAAAACTCTGTTGCAGTGAGCAGAACTGAGCCTGCTGCGCTGAGCAAGCCACATCCCAGCCCTAGTCAAGTGTTTGTGCCATTGCATTTTATAAAAGATAACAGATGCCTCACAGTCACATTCCTGAAGTGAAACTGTTTGCCAAAATACCCTGGAAATTTACAGCAAGGATTTGTACATACTGGAACTAGTCCCCTGGTCCCATGTGCATTTCCTTTTACCCCCTTGTGACAAAATAAACAGAACTCCAAGGACACAGACACACCCCAGCACTCTGAACACCTCAGCACTTCTGTTTCAGCAGCCACCAGACACTTTGGGCCATCCTTGGGATTTATTTATAAGCTCTCAGTAGCCTTCATTGCTGTGGTTAAGGGTCAAGTTTTCCCACCCTTCCCTTATTTGCAAAATTGTCCTGGCTTATTTTGGGGAACTGCAGTGTTAACCCATCCTGTGTGCAACCAGGGATGTGATATAAACCCTCAGGGACAGAGCCCCAAGTTCTCCAAGAAAAACCACATGTATTTTTCATGTCACAGTCGTTTTGCACCTGTGCTATAAAGCGAACATTTACTACACGTGCCAAATTTCTGGCACAAGGATATTTCCAGGAGCATCAGATATTCTACACACAAGGTGTGCACTATGCTGATACACATGCCAGTGTTACACACACAAAAAAAATCTTTTCAGGCTATATGTGAATATACTGACACTCAGCTTGTGCTATTTCATAAGAGAAGAGCAGGAGAAATCATGAGTCACGATTTTTTATATAAATATATATATATAAATATAAATATATATATATATATATATATATTTGGAAAATATAATATTATATTATTTTCTATAAAATAACATATATTATATAATATATATATAGTATATATAATATATCAATTATATTTGATATATTTTATATCTTACATATTTTAAGGAGGCTTAAGGGCAAGATATGGGATGTGGATGGACATCACATCCCATCTCTGATCACAGAGGCCACCACACCCTTTGGAAGGTACATGGCAGGCTCCCAAAGCAGGGAACCCTTTCTCCCAGGCTTTTCACCTCTCTCCCAACCTGCAAATGTCACAGTGCCCCACAAGTCCTCACCGGTCAGGGACTGGTCTGCTCCCAGCACGTTCCATTCTGCCGGCAGCTTCAGGTGTCGAAATGCCAAGGCCACTTTCTCATCCAAGAAGTCCACGTCTGCTGCAGGTGGCCTTGACCGGTCCAAGAAGCGTGTGAAATTCAGCGCCTGCTGGTTGCCAGCACAGGTGGCCAGAAACTGGGCAGCATCGTAGGCTTCATCCTGGACAAACTGGAAACTCTCTTCTGCCACAACCAGAACGGGGTGACCTTCTCTAGAGGCACAAAGTGCCACCTTCACTGTCTCACAGCAGTCATGGCCTGCGAAACAAAATTCAGACAAATGGTAAAAATAAAAGAAAAATGGCATGGGTTGAGGAAACACAGCTGAGCAATTCCTTTGACACACACACACTCTTTGCATTAAATCTAATAAGACCAAGTTATTGAGGGTTGCAACTCTAAATTAACGTTGTCTTTGGAATTTATATGTATCATCAGAGATAAGTCTTTCTTATAGATTTTAAAAGGAAAAGATGTGTAACTCTTCTCTGTCCGAGTATAAGCCAAGAACTGTAAGCCACTCAAGCTATTTATATACAGCAACGAGCAATCTCAAGAGTTTTAAGTAATTTAAGTAAAAGATTTTGCTAACGTACCTAAAGCCAGATTATATGGACAAACTTTTCTTTTGCAGCTCTGCAGGACTTCAGTAACTCATCAGAAACTAGAATCTGAGTGCTGCAAAACTACGTACTACAAATGTTGACACAATACTTGGCAAATTGAAATTTCATCTAAAACAAAGGTCTACACGGCTACCAGAGCATGACCTGCCTGGGCATGCCCTGTGTGTGCTCACTGCTGCACCTGCCCCATGAATTTGGGTTCACACAACAAAACTAAAAACTAAGCTGCTTCTGCTAAATAAAAACATGGAAATGGCCACTTTCCATATTTACAAAACAAGAGGGTTGGAAGTCTGGTAATTTCATTATTTATTTAGGGCAGGGAAACAGGAGAAAGGAGGCACGGCAGCAATTTCATTGAGTCAGAAACTTGAGGGGGAAAAAAACCCAAACAGCAAATCAAACTAAACACCTTTTGGGAATTTTAAAAGGAAAAATATACTATGTGTCCAACACAACCAGAACTTGTAGTTGTCAGACATGCCCCTTCAATAATAAGGTTTGTGTTTCAAGTTCACTGTGTGGTACAGTTTCTTGTTCCAGCCTCAGACTGACATCATGGCTGTTTTTGCCAGAACAGCATGGACCCTGCACTAATTACTGGAAAAGCTTTTTTTTTTTTTTTTTTTTTTTTTTTTTTTTTTTTTTTTTGCCCATGACCTCAGCATACTACCACATTCACAAAACCCTGATTAATTAAATACAAAATGACGATTTATTTTTAAAGGCTTGAAAATTCAATTTAAGCCCCTATTTGTGGTCAGTGGGAAAGTTTCCTTCTTCTGTTGGGGCCTTTTGCTGTTGATTTCCCTGACAAAAGAGAAAATATGTCCCTAATCTTCATGGTCTTTCATCCAACCTCACAAATCTGTTCTGAGGCTTTTGGCATCTGTACAGATTTTGTCTACTGAAAGAGGCAATCCTGAAGTTAATTGAAAGGTCAAAACTGCTATTAGGACACTGCGGATAACAGCAAAATTGTCAGAGATGAGGCTGTGGCTTCCTAAGGAGAGCAAATGCAGCTGGAAAGGTATCAAAGGCAAGTGGAGAAAGGGAGGAAAACACACAGAGATGTTGCTGCAACTGCTCAATACAACCAGGATGCTCTGAAGCTGAAAGGTGAGAAAACTTCTATCCTTCCAGCACCAAATACCTTTTAGCAAGAGGATGATGTGAAAGCTGAAGGAGTAGATTTGCTAGTGCTGTTGGTTCGAAGAATAGGGTTAAGAAGAACTTCTACTGCTCTTGAAAATATTGCATGTGCATTCTAATACATCACTGTATTAGTACTCAGCTGCCCAGATGGGACCCATTCACAGATTCTGCTCATCCTCACAGTAAAAGCCCCAAATGTTCAAGGGAGAAGTGGGGAGGATGACACAACTTTGAGGGAACTTGCCTTTAAGGACATTTAGAACTGTATATGTCTCCCCCTACACCTTCCTGCTTTACTGATCTTCCTAAGGACATCAAACACAGAGCAGGTAAGACAATTTTGTTTCCAGCTTCCACAAAAGCAGTGATCTCCATGCACACTACAGCCTACAGGAGCTGACTCAAATCCTGCGAGCTGGGCTCTCCCTAACTCAGAGTAATAGAAGGTTGCTAGAATGCAGAGTTTTAAAAAAACAAACACAGCAAAAGCTTTCTTAATAGCATGAGGACAGCTAAACCTTTTATTCAATTTTTAAAAAATATTTTCTGCCTATTCCCATAAGAATCCCATCTGCAGAATAACCTAGAATACAACTGCTCTGCCAGCAGACTTTCAGGATTGAAGCAGCAGGCCAAAACGGCCCACGAGCAGCTACAGAGAAACCATTTGGGACAGCCACTTGTCACAATGCCAAACAATTCTGCTGTGGGACAGCAAAGGCTCCTCCATCGAGACAACAACTACAGAAACCTCTGTCAAGACGTGTGGTCTCCTTAAGGCAGCACATCACGGATGTACACAAAGTTCCCTTGGATGCAGCCTGTGTTAAACACCAACTGCAAAAGGCAACACAAGGGAAGGTGATAAAAAGACCATGTCCTGACCTGTGGCCAGCAAGGACTCTACTGAAACTTCCCCAGATATTGAATATGCAGCCTAGAAAAGAAAGTGACAGACCTGAGAATCCATTTTTATCTAACAGGATCATGCTAAACCCTAGGGAATGCTCTCCAGAAGGGCAACAGCTTGCAGTGCTTTGATGTTCTGCTTCCTCACATCTGAGAAGATGTCAGACATTGGGGCAAGAACATGGGACAGGTTCTGACTTTAGTCAAGCAGTTCAAATGAAAGGGGAGCCAGTATGTAACAAGAGCAGAGAATACTAGAAAGATTGCTCAAGAGGTCTCTGCCCCCTGCTTTGAAATGGCTACAGGAACAGTGTGAGCAAACATGTCCCAAGTACAGGAACCTTCTGAAGGAACCATCAGTGGGGCAACTCTACTCACCACATCAAAGAGCCAATGGCCTGGACTAATACCTGAACTTCTACGGCCCTTGTCCCACAGCACTACCAGAAGGGATCTGAGCTCTTGAATTGAAGAATTCCTTACTGGGAATTAATGGGGACACTTAATAAACCTTGCTCTGGGGAAAATATGAGAATGAAAAATGAAGACATGGTGCTCTAGTCTGTCTGTTCCTATCCCTGAAGAGATGAGATGTATCAGCATGATAGCACTGCTTCCTCTACATGGTACTGATGCAGATCAATGAGCACGAGAACAGGGGGAGATTTCTCAGCTGCAAGTCATTAGCAGATAAGTTAATGTACAGCTTAGACCTGTCCATCTACCTGTGCCTGTGATCTGGAGTGCAGTTAAAAGGGCAGCAGTTCAACTCTTCTGACTTCTTCTTGTTAAACAAGGCCTACATGGAGACAAAACACCCCTAAACAGAGCTTTATTAAAAGATGATTTCATTTCCTACTCCTCCAAAAGTGGAAATCCTGTCCAAACCTCCTATTTTCAGAATTCACATTGGAGCTATCAAACAATGGGCCCCCAGCCTGGGCAGCTATTTAAAGCCCTGCTGGAAGGACATGTTTGGGTTTGCTTGGTAGGTGGCTAAAGACTAATTGCATCCTCCAAGTCACCATGGTGGAGCTGAGTTGAAAGAGGTCTTACAGAGAGATTTAAGGACAGGAAAAGCAGACAACAAATGTTGTGAACCTCATGAAGGATCTCAGATTTGCACCCAAGATGCATCCAAGAGATGTTGTCATCTGGTGGCTTGTAGTAAAGGAAGCCAAGGGATCTCCTGTGACCACCCAGAAAGTGCTTCTTTTCTGCTTCAGAAATCCTGAGCTCTGGTTCTGAAAATCAGAGCCCATCTTTGAAGTGCATTTGTGAAATGTACAGTTACTGTATTCACTCTTGCAACACAGGAAGCCTTATGACATACACGGGCACAGCACCAGCACTGGACAGGAGCCTCTGCTTTTCCTTTCAAACCTGTCACTGGAAAGGTGAAAGAGAGATTAAAGAGTGGGTAAAGACTTTTTTAAAGGCCTTTACACACTGCAGATGTGCTAAAAACCTAGAGAAGTGTAAGACCCCACACATTACATCTTAAATAATTTCAACACAGATTCAATCACTTTTTCCTGTGACTGATGTCATCTAGTACTGGCATCACTTCCTTTTAATTACACTGCCTCAAGCAATTAAATACACCGAAGAGGATGAACTGCAAAAAGTCTTCTTGGCTATGCTGTTTTAGTCTATTTTAAGGGTTTTTTTGTTTCATAATTAAGAGTATTTTCAAATCCACAACTGGTATTGCCAAGTGTCCATTTGTTATGCAACTTGTTTACCCTTCTGGTCTACCAGTACAAAGATTATAATTCATGAAATACAGCTTTTTCTATGAAGAGTTGTTTCTTACGGGAAAACACAGTCTGTGGTAGGAATGAATAAAGCATCACCATATGTAGAGGATTTCACAGTAAAAGAAAAGTTTGAAATGAAGATATTTCCAAGCTAAGTGAAATTAATTTTTGTCTATCCTTTTAACTAGCAGAAAGAAAGTAAGGAGAAAAAAAACAAAAAAACCAACAACTCTGAGAGCTATGGAATTAAGAACAAGTTAAAGACTGAAGCTGCTTCTCTGCCTTAGCTTAAGAATGGAGAGAAAGCTAAGAGTGAGTCAACGGGAATGTGTCAGCCCTGTGGAAGCTGCTGGCAGGCAGCTACCAGCAGACAGACAGTCTCTCAGACCCTTCTTCTACTTCCAGTTTTGATTCTCCTCCCCTTTGAAACCCACACAAGAATCCTGCACCTTTTGAGTTCAACAAACATGAGAAAAGCTATTTTGGTATTACAGAGCTCGGACTGATACAACACATTGCAATGGTACTCACCGAGGCAATTATATCTCACAAAATTTACTTCTTGTTTTGGTGACCTGGCTCACAGATGGGGTGATTCTTACCCTTCAGTTATTTCATCAGGAGCTGCTGCAGCTCTGGATTACTGGACTGTCTCTCCCTGTTCAAAATTTCATTTGAAATTTCCCCCGTGTCTCCCACACTTTCCAGACCACCAGTCATTAAATGCAAAGCAAAATGCATGTCCAACCATACAGCTGCTATGGTGATGGCATGCAAACTTTTGCAATAAATGCACCACACAAATACTGGAGCTCGCAGCACACCAGTTCCTGCAAGAGAATTCCCCCAGATCTCCCCAAGAGTTTCCTGATGCTCAGAGGCCTCCACTGGCCACAGCAAGCTGTGGTTGGGATTTTTGCCTTGTGTGGACAGTGATGAGGTCATTCTGTCTTCTGCTGGTTTATTTGCCAGATGATGATTTGAGGATTTTTATTACTGGGTTGGGTTTTTTCCCAGTGGGGAAAAAAGCTGCTCTAGCAGAGAGAAAAGAGATGAGGCTGCTGTCTTGCAATTAATGTTTCACTTCCCTGCTTTGCACTGATTTCCTTCACTACCACATGCAATCTGCTTGGCCTCAGTTACCCTCCCTACCCTGCAGAGCTGGGAAGAAAAAAATGCATTGAGATTATGGCAATCTCAGCTGCTATAGGAATAAGGACTTGCTGAAAAGCTCAGTTCATGACCAACACAAGGAGGACCCGCATCTGTGACCTAAGAGGACATATCCCTTCCCAACAGTACAAACTCAGCAGCCAACAACAGTTAACCACAGCAACAGAGATGGTATCATATCTCTACTTCCTTCCCTGCTCAGACTTTTGATGCTTTCTTAACACCCAAACTCCAGTGACCAAGCTTTTGCACTGAGATCCCCACTGGAGCAGTGCCAGTGCCATCACACCTCCAGCTGCCACCTAACGCTGTGTCTGATACAGCAGTGCTTGAAATTGTACTGTAGAACTACACAGTGCCTCAGGTACTGAGGAAAACTGCTTAAATTAGGGAGAATTTCAACCAGATTAATTAGAAATAGAAGAACTGTAACAGTGACAGTAAAGCCAACAGTTAAATGAGGTTTTGATAGCTTTTCACTGAGACAAACAAAAGCTTGCTTGGATTATGTAACGTGGTGTGTCCTTAGGCTGGCAAAAGAGGTACTGAAAACACACAAAACATCAACTCCTGGCTAATTCTTGAATTTCAGTAGCTAATTTTGGCACTTCAAGTTATGACTGATCAGCTCAGATGAGAATCTGTTTCTTACAAGAGGAAATTACCTTCCTTAAATTAACACAGCCAACAGCAGAGCAGGATAAATAATCCATGCCATTCTTCAGGGCAAGTGCATAAATAAAGGTAAGTATTCTGTAGTTTATACAAATGATGAATCTATATTTATCCACATCTTCAGGTAAAATAAAGCTGCTCCCATAAATTTACAATCAGAAGTCCTTTCTTTTACTCTGTACAGAAATAAAAGCTCACATTTGAACAGTAGGATATATATACTGTTATATATATATTCAGTGCTTAAGGCTGATGATAAAAAAGCATAGGAAAGAAGCAGATTGCTCTAGTAATTACATAAGATGCAGCAGTAATTTAATTCTGCAGTGATAAGCTTTTATTTAGGTAAAGTATTTCAGGATACAGAGAATTTTCACATACAATGAAAATTTATGGGGTATTTTGACAGTTTGTATTTCCATTTCATTTTCTCTAGTTTTTCACCTAAAACAACTTTATGTTGTTAAGATTTCTTTTCAAATGTGATTTTATTTGAAAGCTTCGCTAAAAGATTCTGATTAATTTTGGCAGCAAATGCAATGAAATAATTTGTCTGTCTTTTACACTTCTGTACATCAAGAAACCCACAGAAAAACTCAAGAAACAAAAATTACAAATGTGGGCTTGGTTTTACTTCAGCTTGAACAGAATTACATCACCCTTTTCACCCCATCTGCTGATGGACTTCATCTGAAGTCTCCTGGCGATCACATGAAATTTTGAGGACTTGGGGAAAGAATGAGGGAAGAGCCTTGGAGTCCAGAAGGGATGGAGAAGAGCTTCATGAAAGGCAGAAAGGCTCCTGAGTGAATCAGCCCTTCCTTACTGCACCTGAGCTGTCCCCAGGAGCTGCTGTGCTCGCAGGGATGTGCAACACTCCTTGCATCACAGGAACAAATGGAAGATGCTAGTAGCTGCAAATAAAGGATGAGATTTTGGCTAAAAGCTGCTTGCAGGAGTTTCCTTGCAGAGCATTTGCTAAGTGCCCCGGGCTGGGTGTTTGAACAAGGGCTGGTCTCACACACACTGTGTGTTGTTCATGGCTAATCCTCCGAGGTCAAATAACGCTCTGAGTCACCAGAGCCATCGCCAAGGCAACTGGGGAACATACAGAGTAAACACATGATTACAGATTCACTGTTCGTCCAGGAAGGAGGAGGAGGAGGAGGAGGAAGAGCTGCACTGAAGTAATGCTTCCACTGTAATCAGTGTAGTCAGTGCTGAAACAACACTGGACAAATGCACAGGTGTCAGCAGAGGGGATGAAAAATATTAGGCTTTTCCCCTATCTTGCTTTGCCTTTCCCCAACAACCTCTTCATCACAGTATTTTTTTTTCTTAGGCAGTCTCACCAAAAGGAGGTATGAGCACAGATGAGGGTGTTATCCACATGGCTATTTTACATCTGAGATGTCACCTCTTCCTTGCACCCAGGACAGTGCGGGAATGAGACTACCTTCCTGAAAGGTCCCTTAAAACTCTGTCTGAAACAAGCTGTATTTTGGGACAGCACCCATCCTGGTCCAGCTTCACATGCCACAAGATCACACTGGGTAAAAAAAAAACAAGCCACCAACAAAACAATCCATTATGGCTAAAAGACCAATTGAGAGAAATTCCCTCTTTTCCTTTTGAATCATGAACGGTGTCAGATTTCCCACTAACAGCACCAAAAGGACCTGCAGGGAGCCCTCCCCAGTGACTCAGTCACATCTGGGGCTGGCAGGACAGGCAGTGCCCAGAGCATCACTCTGGTCGCACCTGGCAGCCACCACCCTGGGCACATCCAGCACTGCTGCAAGGGCAGTGGGAAAGAGTTGTTCCTGCCCGGAAATCCCATCCAGCAGGCTGGCTCCCACATGGGCTGGAGGGAACACTGAAGCTTTTCAGTTCCTTTCTTGGCTCAGCAGCCACAGCCCCGAGGGAGAGGTGAAGTCATTTTGAACAGGGCTGGCAGAGCCCCACACCCACCACACAAAAGCAGGGAAGGAGTCACCCCCTCTTGCTCTTCTGGGAGAAAATAAGCACTAATCTAATTGATTGCACGGGGCTCCAGTCACCAGTAGCCATAAAAAGGCTTCTCTTCCCAAGCCAAGTGAACAACATGAACAGCTCTAAAAGAGGAGGAAATGAAAAAAAAACTGAGTGGCCGACTTTTAGCTACTCATTCCCAAGAGAAAACAACTCCAAATTTTACTCCACGTGCATCTCTCACAAAACAATACTTAGGAGGTAGATGAAAAGACAAACCCAAGAAAAACACTTGATGGCCTGAGTTACATTGCGTGTAGTGAAAATGTCAGGCGTTTTTCTCACACTGGTAGCAATGTGCTGCATAGCAACAAGTCAGAATGAAAGGTTAATGGTGAGGACTGCAGCCTGGAACACGCTCATTCCCACGGTCCTGAAGTCACCAAAGAGAAATGCTGATTTGTTTTGTTTTGTTGGTGGCACAAAGGATGAAAACAGAGGTGGGCTTTCATGTGGAAACCCACCTCAACTGAACCAGCTATGGAGAGATGGCACTGAGCAGCACATCACCTGTACTGTAAGAGCTCCAAAAATGATCTGTGAGCTCTGAACGGAACAGGATTTAGGGGAAAGGGTTGTATTTCACCAGGAAGACAGCAATGAACCTCATCGAGTCAAGCAGATGATAAGCGTAGCTAAGACTTACTGTGCCGTCTACCATTTGGGCAATAGCATCTGTAACTTTACAAGTCTATCTTCCACCATCTCTGCTGCATTTAAAAGACTTTTATTATGTGCATGTGTAACTGTGAGTCTACAATAGCATCTCAAAATTACATATTAAATAACTGCAATCTCAAAGTCATGTAATTCTAGTGAAATCAAGTAAGAGGTTTTTGAAAGGCAAAAGCAGTCATCCAAACCACGTGTTCTATTCATTGTGGATGTGTAAATGAGGAAAAAGACAACCAAGCAAACAGCATTACCTTCCAATCCACTTGTAGTAACCAAATTTCACAGACTGATACATTGATATGCAAAGAAAGACAATTGTTTACCAGGAGAAATTGTCTCCAGACTCCCAGGATTAATCTTTCTCGTGCTTGTGCAGTGTTGGACAGTTGATCCAGTGAAGACCAAATAAAAAACTACATCATCTTCAACTTTATCTTCCTCAGTCAGCTGCACTGTAATAACAGAGTCACCCTAGAAAAAAGGACAAGAAAAGAGATCAGGTTTACATGACCAAGAACTTCATAATCTAAAATGAAATTACTCTTCCTACAAGGTTCACACTCTCCATTCATACACTCCTTTCATAGGACTGAGTGCCATCCTAATTTTCAGGTATCTAAGTCAACCTCAGTATCAAAGCCAGCCAACATCTAGGAAACACGCTGAATGCAACCCTAGGAAGAGACATGCAGAAATATAGACATATATAACAGAATATAGACATATATAACAGAATATATATATATATATATATATATATATATCAGAATATAGACATACATAACAGAAATGAGATAGGCCAAAATTGCCTCTGCCCTCAGAAATTTGAATGCTTTAATTCTTGCTTGAGCACTCACATTCCCCCTGTCCAAGCTAGCACTGCAACCAGAGATCCAACTTGATCACTAAACATATCTCTCATCTACAATCCACAAATACACAAAGATACCTAAGTTTCATATCAACTGAGATTTTTTTCCACCTTCGTTACAAAGAAACACTGTGGTGGCACAGACAATGGTAGCTCTTCTCATTCATCTATAAGCTCATGCAAATACAGCAGTTCTTCAAGCCTTGAGAAAAAACCTCTCATGATCTGTTGGTTAAACTCTCCTGCATAGTATTATGGAGGTTTTAGTTCAGAATTTCAGCATATTTTATCATTTAGCTCATCTTTGCTCTCAGGGAAAATTATATTTATAAAGGGTGCACATGGTTATCACAGTTAACCCGGCAAAGGGTACAGTAAATACACCTGAAATTCCTACATCTGCATGGGAAATATGAACCCAAAAGGGGCAATATGAACCAATTTCAGTGTTCCATGGGGAAGGAAAAGCAAGGAAAGAGGATGGCTTACAGTTACTTCAGAACTAAGTGAAGTGTTTTCATTTGATGAAAATATCGTAATCAAGTCATTTAGGTAGGAAAAGACCTCCAAGAGCATCAGGTTAACCCAGCACTGTCAAGGCATAACTAATCCATGTCCCTAAGTGCCACATCTACACATCTTTTAAATGCCACTGGGGTCTCCCCACACTTTGTTTATTAGCCTGAAAAAAATTATATAAACTACAAGGTACTGAGAACAACAGTCTGTGATGTGACCTTGTGTCCCTTGTCCATGCAGATCAGAACCAGGTGGATGCCCCAGTTTCACAGAGCAGCTGTAGCTGCCAGCTCTCTGCCACCACCCCACTGAGCATATGGTTACAGCTGCAAATCTGGAAAAGATTTTATTATTATTGTTATTGTTATTGCAGATTATGTAATTCTGATTTGCATATTCAAGAGAATACACATCATCTCCTTTAAAACCTCCCCCTGAAGATCACTGAGTTCATCCCTTCTCTTTGTCAAATACAACCATTATAGACAATTCCCAGACTTCCAGGCCCTCCCGTACACCGTCCTGCCTTAGCATCACTTCCCACGCTCTGCCTCGTGTCTCCCTCTTCTCTCCCTCAGCTCCTTTCACGTTTCCTCCTCCAAGTTGATGTCCAGTTCTCCCTTGATCCAGCCCATCTGGCACCTCTTGCCAGGGGCAGGACTGCACCTTGTTTTATACAAACAAGATTTTGTAGGGCAAGTCCACGACCAGCCACTGGTCTTAAAATCAAATATGTGGGTCAATGCTGTGACACAGGAAAGAAAACCACAAATTCAAAAAAACTCCACAACCTAATGGAGCAGAGAGTGTATTTTGTATTTTCAGAGGTTGTAGAGTTACAAATGTAAATTTTAGGAAGGTCTCACGCAATATCAGACCAGACTTCCAGCTGGGGAGGAAGGAACCATGTAGCAAAAGTCTATCTTGCATAGAGTCAGTGTTAAAATAAAAACAGGTGCAAAAAGAAATAAATCAAACTTCAAATTCAAGCATGACCACTTCACATGCTGAGTTGAAAACTAAATATTCCATTTCAAGCAAATGGATCCAGATTTGAGCTGATGTTCAAAAAACCAAAAGCTTGAGTTTTAACCTACAAATCCTTTGTGCTTTGTTTTTTCATATGTCTTTGTTCAAACCATTTCTCCCTTAAGGCATGAACATACAAAGTACTTAAACAGATTTAAAATGCAGGTGACACTTCAGAACACACTGAGTGTTTAACACAGTATTTGTTAAAAGAGATTTTTCTTTTATTTAACTCAGAAATCAAGTACAGTAAGTCTAATTTTTGTGAAATCAAAGCAAATTGACATAGAGTTTTTGTCAGAGAAGGCACCTGTCTATCCATGCAAACTACTCACATTCATAGGAAAAGCAATTTAATTTGCATCAATATTGCAAATGACAATTTGTATATTTACTTATTCACAGAAAACCTAGAAAATACATGTAAGAAACCTCAACACCAGAGGTTCCACATAAACTGAAATCAAAGCTGAAACTTAAACACATAGCTGAACTTTTTTAGATACCTAACCTAATTCTGAAGGTGGAAGATGGTCAGAACAGTGACATTCAGCAGATCTTTCCAAGCCACTTGCTCCACTCCCTAGATTTTAATTCACTTCATTTCAATTATTGTTTAAGTCTAGGGAGAGCACAGATTATCATCAGCTGGTATCAGTTTAAAAGGTTCTTCAGCTGTATCTAAGCAGCATTTCATGGTGGGAGGGTCTCCACCACCCTGCTCCCACCTCTCCTGGAGGATCCTTCAGCCAAGACTGTGGAATACTGAGCATCTTATTTGGTGGATACTTTACTTTAATTTTAAGTTGTCTCCATATACCTTTGGTAACACTGATAATGTGCCATTTAATTTCTGTGTGCTTCAGTTTCCCTGCAGGTATCACCTGAGCTAACTCGGTCACTGTGCCTGGTACAGGTCACTGTGCTGATGTGATCCCAGAAACAGAAAACCCTCCTTTTTTCTTCAACACACCTCTGTACCTCCCAGTTACTGACAATTTCATTGTTCACTGCCAATTTTAATTTGATTTTTAAGTTATTTAAGCAATGTATTTATTTGGAAAGGAAATAATGCACAGAACAAAACCGCTCTCTTTCCAAGATTTTTGGACTTAAAGAAAATCAGTTACAAATGCAGCCAAATTCCTCCAACCCACATAGAAGACTTTCCAACAGCCCTATTGCATTCAGCCTCCAAAAACATTTTAATTGAAGTATGTTTACCTTTATTCATTTAATATTGTCAAAAAAATGTCATCTGTTCAGGATCACTGCCACACAAGGTGGTTATTATAACCCTTCTTTCATCCCAAACGGCTAGAAATGGGAGGCCAGCCTGCCAATATCCCTTTGGTGAAAGTACAGACAGATCAAAGCCATTCTCTGGAATGCTCCAACAAATAAGAATAATTTAATTTCAAAACTAGTTTGGATCGACTAATATTTACTTGGCTTAAAGCCCATTGGAAATGAAAACATTCCATCTTGGTCCATTCATGAAAGAGGCCACCCTGTCCCTTGTCTGGATCTGAAAAATCCCTAGTCTCAGATGTAATGGGATGTAAAGAAGATGGATGGGGCTCTTTCCTCATATTCCCTTCTCCAAACCACAGGGGGAAAGCAAGTCTGCCTCACCATAGGACAGGTGCACTGGAAAAGCCAACCCTGACTTTGAGCTTTAAACTAGAAAAGAACACAGAAACGGATTTTAGAGTGGTCCATCTCTGAAGTTTTGGCAGCAGAAATACATTATTTCTAAAAAGGCCTAAATGCTGTCATTAGAACTAAACCCCAAAACTATCTGGACAAGGCACCTGTTTGTCAGCATGATTTGCTGGCATTAGCACAACTCCACCTTCTAGGTAGTAGTCTCTCCAGCAGATGTGGATGGTGTGTAGGAAAAGTACAAACACTCCAAGTAAGGTTGTTAAAATGGACTACTTACCTTCAAAGGCTGTTTTTTTTTTTTTCTTTAATAGATAACCTCAGCAATATTTGGAAATGGAAATGAAGTGAACAAAATCTTTAAGCTCAAAAATATTAAGATCACTTATGTTATGACCTCAAAAATACTATCTATCTTCTAAAAAGAAAAAATGGTTGTAAGCATATAAAGACATCTTTCTTTTCCACTTCAGGCTCTGGAAATCTGTCCGATTTGGGGGAATTGGTCATATTTGGGACCATGAAAACAGCTCTGGCAAATGCAGAACTCCAGACCTCAAGATGAAATCCTTGAGTTTAGTTGGCCATAGGGAAGGTTCCCCAAGGGATATCAGCTCTACCAGAAACAGGTACGCTTGTCAACAATGGACTGAAAAAGGGGAAAAATTATTCTTAACATGCTGGCTAACAAATTTTAACATTTCTGAAAACAAAAACAACAGCAACAAAAAACCCAAACAAAAAAACCCCAAACAAAACAAAAAAAACCCCACCACATACCAAAAAAAAACCCCCAAAAAACCCAAAAAGGCAAGCTGTATTTTTGCAGCTGAAGCGTTTCATTTCTAAGCTGGTTTTTCCCCCCATGGTTCATAATGGGAATTTTAAAGAACATTACTTAAGCCACTAACCACCCACTGATCTCCACACACAGAATCTGAAAATACTTATGAAAATTAAGTGCGCATTAGATGGCACTACTGCAGCACTCAATTGTTACTTCAACAATTTTCATCAGAAAACACCATCAACCAGTTATCATTAATTTATTCTACCCAAAAAAGAAAAATGCAAAAATTGCTGCTGACCATTGACAGCAAACTGTGGCTGTTTTCTCACGGAGCACAAATCTAAAGAATGGAAAGTCCATGGGTTAGAAGGGTTGGAGATTCACATGAAGGAAAGAAAGCTTTTCTTCCTAAGTATTTCCTTCTAAGAGTTGTTGGAGATTTTGAGATCATGATGCTTTGTTAAAGGGGCTGGATTAGTTGAGTAAAGGTAACCTGCCATTGTAACAAGTTCTGTTTTGTTTCCGCTACTCATGACATGAATCAGGCCCTGGTTGAGTCATTGCTTTACTGCAATTTTGCTTCTTCCCCTTTGGGAA